TGGGTTGATTTTTGGGCTGATTTTGGTGTTGTTTTGGGCTGATTTTTGGGGTGATTTTGGGGTTGATTTTGGGCTGATTTTTGGGCTGATTTTGGGTTGATTTTGGGCTGATTTTTGGGCTGATTTTGGGTTGTTTTGGGCTGATTTTTGGGGTGATTTTGGGTTGTTTTGGGCTGATTTTGGGGCTGATTTTAACCCCGTTTTTGGTGTTACTTTGGGGTGATTTTTGGGGTGATTTTGGTGTAATTTAGGTCGTTTTTGGGTGATTTTAACCCCGTTTTCTCTCCCCCAGTTGGGTGGGGGAGGGGCGCCGGTGCCCCCCCTCCCCGGTGGCCGCCAGGCCCCCTGTTTGGCCCCCGGGGCCCCCAGGCCCCCAAACCCACCCCCCCGTCATCCAGGCGGCCCCACCGTCTCGCCCCTCCCCACGGCGGCCCCCGGTGAGAGCTCACCCCTCCCCCACCCCCCGTGTGACCTTTGACCCCCAAAACCACCCCTGATGTGACCCCCAAAATGTGTCCTGAAGGGACCCCAAATTTGTCCTTAAATGACCTGAAATGTGGCCCCAAATGTGTCTGTAAATGACCCCAAAGTGACCCTAAATGTCTCCTTAAATGACCCCAAAAGTGACCCCAAAGTGTCCCCAAATGTGTCCTTGAATGTCCCCAAAAATGACCCCCTAATGGCCCCAAATGTGTCCTTAAATGACCCCAAGTGTAGCCTCAGAATGTCCCCAAAGTGTCCCCAAATTTGTCTTTAAATATGCCCAAAAATGACCCCCCCAAAGTCCCCAAATGTGTCCCCAAATGTGTCCTTAAATGACCCCAAATGTCCCTAAATGTCCCCCAAATGTCCCCAAAGTGTCTTCAAATGTCCCCAAATGTGTCCCCAAAATGTCCCCAACTTTGTCCCCAAATGTGTCCTTAAATGACCCCAAATGTGGCCTCAAAGTGTCCCCAAATGTGTCCATAAACGACCCCAAACATGACCCAAATGTGGCCCCAAATGTGTCTGTAAATGACCCCAAATGTGGTCTCAAATTTGTCCTTAAATGACCCCAAATATGGCCCCCAAATGTCTCCAAATGTGTCCTTAAATGACCCCAAAAATGACCCCCAAATGTCTCCAAATGTGTCCTTAAATGACCCTAAATGTGGCCCCAAAGTGTCCCCAAATGTGTCCTTGAATGACCCCGAAAGTGACCCCAAAATGTCCCCAAATGTGGCCCCAAATGTGTCCTTGAATGACCCCAAGTGTGGCCCCAAATGTGTCCTTAAATGACCCCAAAAGTGACCCCAAAATGTCCCCAAAGTATCCCCAGATTTGTCCTTAAATGACCCCAAATGTGGCCCCAAAATGTCCCCAAAGTGTCCTCAAATTTTTCTTTAAATGACACCAAATGTGGCCCCAGAGTGTCCCCAAATTTGTCCTTAAACGACCCCAAATGTGACCCCCAAATGTGTCCTTAAATGACCCAAAATGTGGCCCCAAAATGTCCCCAAAGTGTCCCCAAATGTGTCCTCAAATGACCCATAAATGCGACCCCAAAATGTCCCCAAATGTGGCCCCAAATGTGTCCTTAAATGACCCCAAATGTGGCCCCAAATGTGTTTTTAAATGACCCCAAATATGGTCCCAAAATGTCCCCAAATGTGGCCCCAAATGTGTCCTTAAATGACCCCAAATGTGACTCCAGAATGTCCCCAAAGTGTCCCCAAATTTGTCCTTAAATGACCCCAAAAGTGACCCCCAAACATGGCCCCAAAATGTCCCCAAATGTGGCCCCAAATGTGTCCTTAAATGACCCCAAACGTGGCCCCAAAATTGTCCCCAAATGTGGCCCCAAATGTGTCCTTAAATGACCCCAAAAATGACTCCTTGAAGTCCCCCAAGTGTCCCTAAATGTGGCCTCAAATGACCCCAGATCTGTTCCCAAAATTGTCCCCAAAGTGTCCCCAAATTTGTCTTTAAATGACCCCAAAAATGTCTCCTTAAAGTCCCCAAAGTGTCCCCAAATGTGGCCCCAAAGTGTCCTTAAATGTCCCCCCAAAATTGCCCCCAAGTGTGTCCTTAAATGACCCCAAAAGTGACCCCTCTGATGTGTCCCCAAATGTTCTAAAATCCCCCCAAATGTCCCCAAATGTGTCCTTAAATGTCCCCAAAATGTCCCCAAATGTTCTAAAAACCCCCTAAATGACCCCAAAAATGTCCCCAAATGTGACCCCAAAATGTCCCCAAATGTCCCCAAAATGCCCCCAAATGTCCCCAAAGTGTCCCCAATGTCCCCACCCCCCAAATGTCCCCAGATGTCCCCAAATGTGACCCCAAAGTGTCCCCAAATGTCCCCAAATTTGCCCCCAAATTTGTCCCCAAATGTCCTAAACCCCCCAATGTTCTAAGGCCCCTCAAATGTGACCCCAAATTTCCCCAAAGTGTCCCCAAATTTGTCCCCAAATGTCCTAAATCCCCTCCAATGTCCCAAAATGTCCCCAAAAGTGTCCCCAAAGTGTCCCCCAAATGTCCCTAAATATCCCCAAACTGTCCCCAAATGTCCTAAACCCCCTCAAATGTCCCCAAATTTGTCCCCAAATTTGTCCCCAAATGTCCTAAATCCCCTCCAATGTCCCAAAATGTCCCCAAAAGTGTCCCCAAATATCCTAAAACCCCCCCAAATGTCCCCAAAGTGTCCCCAAATGTGACCCCAAAGTGTCCCCAAATGTCCCCAAAATGTCCCCAAATGTCCTAAAACTCCCCCAGATGTCCCCAAATGCGTCCTAAACCCCCCGAAGTGTCCCCAAAGTGTCCCCAAATAAGTCTGTAAATGTCCCCACCCCCCAAATGTGACCCTAAAGTGTCCCCAAATGTCCCCACCCCCCCAAATGTCCCCAAAATGTCCCCAGAGTGTCCCCAAATTTGTCCCCAAAAGTCCCTAAACCCCCCCTAAATGTCCCCAGAGTGTCCCCAAATTTGTAACCCAAATGTCCTAAACCCCCCCTAAATGTCCCCTCCCCCAGGAGGAGACTCCGCCCCTCGGGCCCGCCCCTGGAGGAGCCCCGGATCGGGCCCTCCCTGCCGGCCCCGCCCCCACCATGGCCACGCCCCTCCGGAGCCACGCCCGGCCTCGCCCACCTGGCCCCAACGCCCCGCCCACTGCGCAGGACACGCCCCCAGGACACGCCCTTCCCGGGGCCAGAGGTGAGGGGAGGGGACAAAATGGGAGGCGCTAAATGGGAGGGGCTGGGTGGGAGGGTTAAAGGTGGGAGGGTCTGGAGTGGGTGGGGCTTCACAGAGGAGGGGCTAAAATGGGAGGGGCTAGGGTGGGCGGTTAAAGGTGGGAGGGTCTGAAGTGGGTGGGGCTAAAGTGGGAGGGGTATGGAGTGGGTGGGGCTAAAGTGGGAGGGGTTCAGGGTGGGTGGGGCTAAAGGTGGGAGGGGTCTGGAGTGGGTGGGGCCTCCCAGAGGGTGGGGCTCAGTTGGTCAGGGGCGGGGCTAAATGGGAGGGGTTCTTGGTGGGTGGGGCTTTGTTTTGGGGGTGGGGCTAAAGGGGAGGGGTCTGGAGTGGGCGGGGTCTCCCAAAGGGGTGGGGCTGCAGTGGGTGGTGGGCGGGGCCAAAGGGGCGGGGCTAAACAGGAGGGGTTTATGGTGGGCAGGACTTTGTTGGGGGTGGGGCTAAAGGTGGGAGGGGTCTGGAGTGGGTGGGGCTAAAATGGGAGGGGTTTGGGGTGGGTGGGACTTTGTTTTGAGGGCGGGGCTACAGGTGGAGTGGTGTGGCTTACAGGGGTTTGATTGACAGGTGGGTGTGGCTTAGATGTTTGACAGGTGTGGGTGTGGCTTACAGGAGTTTGATTGACAGGTGGGTGTGGCTTAGATGTTTGACAGGTGTGGGTGTGGCTTACAGGAGTTTGATTGACAGGTGGGGCCATGGCTTACAGGAGTTTGATTGACAGGTGTTGGCGTGGCTTAGATGGGTTTGATTGACGGGGTGGGCGTGGCTTACAAGGGTTTGTTTGACAGGTGTGGGCGTGGCTTAGATGTATGATTGACAGGTGTGGGCGTGGCTTGCATGGGTTTGATTGACAGGTGTGGGTGTGGCTTAGAGGTTTGATTGACAGGTGTGGGTGTGGCTTACAAGGGTTTGATTGACAGGTGTGGGCATGGCTTAGATGGTTTGATTGACATGTGTGGGCGTGGCTAATGGGTTTGATTGACAGGTGTGGGCGTGGCTTAGATGGGTTTGATTGACAGGTGAGGGCGTGGCTTAGATGTGTTTCATTGACAGGTGTGGGTGTGGCTTATATGGGTTTGATTGACAGGTGTGGGTGTGGCTTTGATTGATTGACAGGTGTGGGCGTGGCTTACAAGGGTTTGATTGACAGGTGTGGGTGTGGCTTAGATGTTTGATTGACAGGTGTGGGCGTGGCTTACATGGGTTTGATTGACAGGTGTGGGCGTGGCTTAGATGTTTGATTGACAGGTGTGGGTGTGGCTTAGATGTTTGATTGACAGGTGTGGGCGTGGCTTAGATGTTTGATTGACAGGTGTGGGCGTGGCTTACAAGGATATGATTGACCAGTGTGGCTGTGGCTTAGATGGGTTTGATTGACAGGTGGGGGCGTATCTTAGATGTTTGATTGACAGGTGGGGGTGTGGCTTAGATGTTTGATTGACAGGTGTGGGCGTGGCTTAGATGTGTGATTGACAGGTGTGGGCGTAGCTTAGATGTTTGATTGACAGGTGTGGGTGTGGCTTAGATGTTTGATTGACAGGTGTGGGCGTGGCTTAGATGTGTGATTGACAGGTGTGGGTGTGGCTTAGATGGGTTTGATTGACAGGTGGGGGCGGAGCCCGGGGCCGAGGCCAAGCGGAAGGGGCGGGGTTTGATTGATTAATTGATGGATTGATTGATTGATTGATTATTGATTGATTGATGGATGGATTGATTGATGGATGGATTGATTGATTAACAGGTGGGGGCGGAGCCAGGGGCCGAGGCCAAGCGGAAGGGTCGGGGTTTGATTGATTGAGTGTGATTGTGGTGTGGTTATTGATTATTGATTGGTTGTAGGTGAGTCAGAGGCCCGAGGACAAGCGGAAGGTCGAGGTTTGGTGAGTGGTTGAGTGTTGGTGTTGATTGTTGAGTGGTTGCTAGAGTGAGTCGAGGCCCGTAGGACAAGCGGAAGGCGGGGCTTTGATTGATTGATTGATTAGTGATTGTTGATTATTGATTGTTGATAGGTGGGAGTCAGGCCGAGGACAAGCGAAGGGACGGGGTTTGATGGATTGATTGGTGTGGTGATGGTGTGATTGATTGATTATTGATTATTGATTGATAGGCGGAGTCAGGGGCCGAGGACAAGCGGAAGGGGTGGGGTTTGATTAGTTGATTATTGATTGATTATTGATTATTGATTGATAGGTGGAGTCAGGGCCCGAGGACAAGCGGAAGGGTCGGGGTTTGATTGATTGATTTATTGATTGTGATTAGTGGTGTGGATGTGGTGTGGTGTTGATTGACTGGCAGGTGGAACCAGGGGCCGAGGCCAAGCAGAAGGGGCGGGGTTTGATTGATTGATTATTGATTATTGATTATTGATTATTGATTGATTGATAGGTGGAGTCAGGGCCCGAGGACAAGCGGAAGGGGCGGGGTTTGATTGATTGATTATTGATTATTGATTGATTGATTATTGATTGGCAGGCAGAGTCAGGGCCCGACGACAAGCGGAAGGGGCGGGGTTTGATTGATTATTGATTATTGATTATTGATTATTGATTATTGATTATTGATTGGCAGGCAGAGCCTGGGCCCGAGGACAAGCGGAAGGGGCGGGGTTTGATTGATTATTGATTATTGATTATTGATTAGTGATTATTACTGTAGGCAGAGCCTAGGGCCCGAGACAAGCGAAGGAGCGGGAGTTTGATTGTATTGGATTATTGATTATTGATTATTGATTATTGATTATTGATTATTGATTGGCAGGCAGAGCCTGGGCCCGAGGACAAGCGGAAGGGGCGGGGCGAGCGCCTCAAACGCTGCATCCGAACGGCGGCCGGGACGAGCTGGGAGGATCCCAGTCTGCTGGAGTGGGACACTGGTGGGCACTGGGAGCACTGGGAGGGCACTGGGAGGATCCCAGTCTGCTGGAGTGGGACACTGGTGGGCACTGGGAGCACTGGGAGGGCACTGGGAGCACTGGGAGGCACTGGGAGGGGATTGGGAAGCACTGGGAGGGGATTGAGGGGCACTGGGAGGATTGGGGGCACTGGGAACACTGGGAGGGGATTGGGAGGGGATTGGGAGGCACTGGGAGGGGATTGGGAAGCACTGGGAGGGGATTGGGAGGCACTGGGAGGGGATTGGGAAGCACTGGGAGGGGATTGGGGGGCACTGGGAGGGGATTGGGGGGCACTGGGAGGGATTGGGAGGCACTGGGAGGGGATTGGGAGGCACTGGGAGGCACTGGGAAGCGACTGGGAGGGGATTGGGAGGCACTGGGAGGGCACTGGGAGGGACTGGGAGGGCACTGGGAGGATCCCAGTCTGCTGGAGTGGGACACTGGTGGGCACTGGGAGCACTGGGAGGGCACTGGGAGGATCCCAGTCTGCTGGAGTGGGACACTGGTGGGCACTGGGAGCACTGGGAGGGCACTGGGAGGATCCCAGTCTGCTGGAGTGGGACACTGGTGGGCACTGGGAGCACTGGGAGGGCACTGGGAGGATCCCAGTCTGCTGGAGTGGGACACTGGTGGGCACTGGGAGCACTGGGAGGGCACTGGGAGGGCACTGGGAGGGCACTGGGAGGATCCCAGTCTGCTGGAGTGGGACACTGGTGGGCACTGGGAGCACTGGGAGGGCACTGGGAGGATCCCAGTCTGCTGGAGTGGGACACTGGTGGGCACTGGGAGCACTGGGAGGGCACTGGGAGGATCCCAGTCTGCTGGAGTGGGACACTGGTGGGCACTGGGAGGGCACTGGGAGGGCACTGGGAGGATCCCAGTCTGCTGGAGTGGGACACTGGTGGGCACTGGGAGCACTGGGAGGGCACTGGGAGGATCCCAGTCTGCTGGAGTGGGACACTGGTGGGCACTGGGAGGGCACTGGGAGGGCACTGGGAGGATCCCAGTCTGCTGGAGTGGGACACTGGTGGGCACTGGGAGCACTGGGAGGGCACTGGGAGGATCCCAGTCTGCTGGAGTGGGACACTGGTGGGCACTGGGAGCACTGGGAGGGCACTGGGAGGATCCCAGTCTGCTGGAGTGGGACACTGGTGGGCACTGGGAGCACTGGGAGGGCACTGGGAGGATCCCAGTCTGCTGGAGTGGGACACTGGTGGGCACTGGGAGCACTGGGAGGGCACTGGGAGGATCCCAGTCTGCTGGAGTGGGACACTGGTGGGCACTGGGAGCACTGGGAGGGCACTGGGAGGATCCCAGTCTGCTGGAGTGGGACACTGGTGGGCACTGGGAGCACTGGGAGGGCACTGGGAGGATCCCAGTCTGCTGGAGTGGGACACTGGTGGGCACTGGGAGCACTGGGAGGGCACTGGGAGGGCACTGGGAGGGCACTGGGAGGATCCCAGTCTGCTGGAGTGGGACACTGGTGGGCACTGGGAGCACTGGGAGGGCACTGGGAGGATCCCAGTCTGCTGGAGTGGGACACTGGTGGGCACTGGGAGGGGATTGGGAGGCACTGGGAGGATCCCAGTCTGCTGGAGTGGGACACTGGTGGGCACTGGGAGGCACTGGGAGGGCACTGGGAGGATCCCAGTCTGCTGGAGTGGGACACTGGTGGGCACTGGGAGGGCACTGGGAGGGCACTGGGAGGATCCCAGTCTGCTGGAGTGGGACACTGGTGGGCACTGGGAGCACTGGGAGGGCACTGGGAGCACTGGGAGGATCCCAGTCTGCTGGAGTGGGACACTGGTGGGCACTGGGAGCACTGGGAGGGCACTGGGAGGATCCCAGTCTGCTGGAGTGGGACACTGGTGGGCACTGGGAGCACTGGGAGGGCACTGGGAGGATCCCAGTCTGCTGGAGTGGGACACTGGTGGGCACTGGGAGCACTGGGAGGGCACTGGGAGGATCCCAGTCTGCTGGAGTGGGACACTGGTGGGCACTGGGAGGGCACTGGGAGGATCCCAGTCTGCTGGAGTGGGACACTGGTGGGCACTGGGAGCACTGGGAGGGTACTGGGAGGGCACTGGGAGGGACTGGGAGGGCACTGGTGGTGACTTTGGGGTGTCCCCCTGACCTTTGGAGTGATTTGGGTCAATTTTGGGGTGATTTGGGCTGATTCTGGGGTGATCTGGGTCGATTTTGGGGTGATTTGGGCCAGTTTTGGGGTGATTTGGGTCGATTTTGGGGTGATCTGGGCCGATTTTGGGGTGATTTGGGCTGATTTTGGAGTGATTTGGGCTCATTTTGGGGTGATCTGGGCTGATTTTGGGGTGATTTGGGTCAGTTTTGGGCTGATTTTGGCCGATTTTGGGGTGATTTGGGTCGATTTTGGGGTGATTTTGGCTGATTTTGGGGTGATTTGGGCTCATTTTGGGGTGATTTTGGCTGATTTTGGGGTGATTTGGGTCGATTTTGGGGTGATCTGGGTCGATTTTGGGGTGATTTTGGGTCAATTTTGGAGTGATCTGGGCTCATTTTGGGTTGATTTGTGTCGATTTTGGAGTGATCTGGGCTGATTTTGGGGTGATTTGGGTCAATTTTGGGGTAATTTGGGCTGATTTTGGGGTGATTTGGGGTGATTTTGGGGTGATTTGGGTCGATTTTGGGGTGTCCCCCTGACCTTTGGGGTGATTTGGGGCTGATTTTGGAGTGATTTGGGTCAATTTTGGGGTGTCCCCCTGACCTTTGGGGTGTCCCCTGACCCCAGGGTTGGTTTTTGGGGTCTCTGGGGATTTTTGGGGTCTCTGGTGATCTTTGAGATGTCCCCATGACTTGGGGGTTTCCTTGGAGTGTCCCCCTGACCTTTGGGGTGATCTGGGCTGATTTTGGGGTGATTTGGGGTGATTTTGGGGTGTCCCCCTGTTCCCATTTCCAGACGATTTTGGGATTTTCTGCAGCCACCTGGGGGTGATTTGGGGGTGACTTTTGGGGTCTCTGGTGATTTTTGGGGGGTCCCCCTGACCTCTGGGGTGTCCTTCTGACCTTTGGGGTTGATTTTGGGGCATCCCTGTGACCTTTGGGGTGTCCCCCTGACCCCAGGGCTGATTTTTGGGGTCTCTGGGGATTTTTGGGGTCTCTGATGACCTTTGAGATGTCTGCATGACTTGACGATGATTTTGGGGTGTCCCCCTGACCTTTGGGGTGATCTGGGTGGATTTTTGGGGTGATCTGGGCTGATTTTGGGGTGTCCCCATTAATGATTCCCGTATCTTTTGTGGTGACCTCGGTAACGAGGTGAACGACGAGACCCTGGGGCTGATTTTGGGGTTAATTTGGGGTGATTTGGGGTGATTTTGGGGCGTTTTTGTGCCCATTTTCCACACAATTTCCATATTTTTTGTGGATATTTTGGAAATGAGGTGAATGACGAGACCCTGGGGTGATTTTAGGGTTAATTTGGGATGTTTTTGTGCCCATTTTCCAGATGATTTCCGTATTTTCTGTGGGGATTTGGGCAATGAGGTGAATGACGAGACCCTGGGGGTGATTTTAGGGTTAATTTGGGATGTTTTTGTGCCCATTTTCCAGATGATTTCCGTATTTTCTGTGGGGATTTGGGCAATGAGGTGAATGACGAGACCCTGGGGTGATTTTAGGGTTAATTTGGGGTGTTTTTGTGCCCATTTTCCACACAATTTCCATATTTTTTGTGGAGATTTGGGCAATGAGGTGAATGACGAGACCCTGGGGTGACTTTGGGCTGATTTAGGACTGATTTTGGGATGATTTGGGCTGATTTTGGGCTGATTTTGGGATGTTTTTCTGCCCATTTTCCAGATGATTTCCGTATTTTCTGTGGACATCTTGGCAATGAGGTCAATGACGAGACCCTGGGGTGACTTTGGGGTTAATTTGGGGTGTTTTTGTGCCCATTTTCCAGATGATTTCCGTATTTTCTGCGGGGATTTGGGCAATGAGGTGAATGACGAGACCCTGGGGTGATTTTAGGGTTAATTTGGGATGGTTTTTTGCCCATTTTCCAGATGATTTCCGTATTTTCTGTGGGGATTTGGGCAATGAGGTGAATGACGAGACCCTGGACTGATTTTAGGGTTAATTTGGGGTGTTTTTGTGCCCATTTTCCAGATGATTTCCGTATTTTCTGTGGGGATTTGGGCAATGAGGTGAATGACGAGACCCTGGACTGATTTTAGGGTTAATTTGGGGTGTTTTGTAGCCCATTTTCCAGATGATTTCCGTATTTTCTGTGGGGATCTTGGCAATGAGGTCAATGACGAGACCCTGGGCTGATTTTGGGCTGATTTTAGGGTTAATTTGGGGTGTTTTTGTGCCCATTTTCCAGCTGATTTCCGTATTTTCTGCGGGGATTTGGGCAATGAGGTGAATGACGAGACCCTGGGCTGATTTTAGGGTTAATTTGGGATGTTTTTGTGCCCATTTCCCACACAATTTCCATATTTCTGTGGGGATTTGGGCAATGAGGTGAATGACGAGACCCTGGGGTGACTTTGGGCTGATTTTAGGGTTAATTTGGGGTGTTTTTGTGCCCATTTTCCAGATGATTTCCGTATTTTCTGTGGGGATTTGGGCAATGAGGTGAATGACGAGACCCTGGGGGTGATTTTAGGGTTAATTTGGGGCATTTTTTTGTCCCATTCCCAGATGATTTCCGTATTTTCTGTGGGGATTTTGTCAATGAGGTGAATGACGAGACCCTGGGCTGATTTTAGGGTTAATTTGGGGTGTTTTTGTGCCCATTTTCCAGATGATTTCCGTATTTTCTGTGGGGATTTGGGCAATGAGGTGAATGACGAGACCCTGGGCTGACTTTGGGCTGATTTTAGGGTTAATTTGGGGTGTTTTTGTCCCATTTTCCAGATGATTTCCGTATTTTCTGTGGTGATCTTGGCAATGAGGTGAATGACGAGACCCTGGGGTGATTTTAGGGTTAATTTAGGGTGTTTTTGTGCCCATTTTCCAGATGATTTCCGTATTTTCTGCGGGGATTTGGGCAATGAGGTGAATGACGAGACCCTGGGGGTGATTTTGGGGTTAATTTGGGATGATTTTTTTTCCATTTTCCACACAATTTCCGTATTTTCTGTGGGGATTTGGGCAATGAGGTGAATGACGAGACCCTGGGGTGACTTTGGGCTGATTTTAGGGTTAATTTGGGGTGTTTTTGTGCCCATTTTCAACACAATTTCCGTATTTTCTGCGGGGATTTGGGCAATGAGGTGAATGACGAGACCCTGGGGCTGATTTTAGGGTTAATTTGGGGTGTTTTTGTGCCCATTTTCCAGATGATTTCCGTATTTTCTGCGGGGATCTTGGCAATGAGGTGAATGACGAGACCCTGGGCTGATTTTAGGGTTAATTTGGGATGTTTTTGTGCCCATTTTCCACACAATTTCCATATTTTTTGTGGATATTTTGGCAATGAGGTGAATGACGAGATCCTGGGGGTGATTTTAGGGTTAATTTTGGATGTTTTTGTGCCCATTTTCCAGATGATTTCCGTATTTTCTGTGGAGATCTTGGCAATGAGGTGAATGACGAGACCCTGGGCCGCGCCTTCGGGCGCTTCCCGTCCTTCCTCAAGGCCAAAGTGATCCGGGACAAACGCTCGGGGAAGACCAAGGGCTACGGCTTCGTGTCCTTCAAGGACCCCAACGACTACGTCCGGGCCATGAGGGAGATGAACGGTGAGGTTTGAGGGGTTTTGGGTCGTTTTGGGGCATTTTGGGGTCATTTTGGGACATTTTGGAACATTTTGGGGGGATTTGGGGTCTGTGGGTTCGTGTCCTTCAAGGACCCCAACGACGACGTCCGGGCCATGAGGGAGATGAACGGTGAGAGAGGGGGTTTTTGGGCTCATTTTGGGAGTTTTGGGGTCATTTTGGGGTTTTGGGGGGGTTTGGGGTCTGTGGGTTCGTGTCCTTCAAGGACCCCAACGACGACATCGGGGCCATGAGGGAGATGAACGGTGAGACTGGGGGTTTTGGGACATTTTGGGGCATTTTGGGACATTTTGGGGGCATTTTCGGGGGTTTTGAGGGGTTTTGGGACATTTTGGGGGGGTTTTGAGGGGGTTTGGGGGGGTTTGGGGTCTGTGGGTTCGTGTCCTTCAAGGACCCCAACGACGACGTCCGGGCCATGAGGGAGATGAACGGTGAGACTGGGGCATTTTGGGGTCATTTTGGGGGACATTTTCAGGGTATTTGGGGGGTTTTGGGGTATTGGGGGTATTTGGAGATGTTTTGGGGCATTTTGGGGGCATTTTGGGGTTTTGGGGGGTTTGGGGGTTTGGGGTCTAGTGGGTTCGTGTCCTTCAAGGACCCCAACGACTGCACGTCCGGGCCATGAGGGGAGATGAACGGTGAGGTTTGAGAGGTTTTGGGGCATTTTGGGACATTTTGGAGGAATTTTGGGGACATTTTAGGGGTTGGGACATTTTGAGGTCACTTTAGGGGTTTTGGGGCATTTGGGGGTTTTTTGAGGGGTTTGGGGGGTTTAGGGTCTGTGGGTTCGTGTCCTTCAAGGACCCCAACGACGCCACGTCAGGGCCATGAGGGAGATGAACGGTGAGATTGGGGCATTTTGGGGGTTTTGGGGAGGTTTTGGGGACATTTTGGGGATTTGGAGGGGTTTTGGGGGGATTTTGGGGGTTTGGGGTCACTTTGGGGGTTTTGGGGCATTTTGGGGGATTTTGGGGTTTTGGGGTCATTTTGGGGAGGTTTGGGGTCTGTGGGTTCGTGTCCTTCAAGGACCCCCAACGACTACGTCCGGGCCATGAGGGAGATGAACGGTGAGGTTTGGGCTGTTGGGGGATTTTGGAGGGATTTTTGGGGTTTTGGGACATTTTGGGACATTTTGGGGCATTTTGGGGGGGTTTGGGGTCTGTGGGTTCGTGTCCTTCAAGGACCCCAACGACGACGTCGGGGCCATGAGGGAGATGAACGGTGAGATTGGGGGGGTTTTGGGGCATTTTGGGGGCATTTTGGGGCATTTTTGTGGGGATTTGGAGGCATTTGGGGTCACTTTGGGGGGGATTTGGGGCATTTTGGGGGATTTTGAGGGGGTTTGGGGCATTTTGGGGCATTTTGAGGGGTTTTGGGGTCATTTTGGGGTCACTTTGGGGGGTTTGGGGTCTGTGGGTTCGTGTCCTTGAAGGACCCCAACGACGACATCGAGGCCATGAGGGAGATGAACGGTGAGAGAGGGGGATTTTGGGTCGTTTTGGGGGGATTTTGGGGCATTTTGAGGGGTTTTGGGGAGTTTTGGGGTCACTTTGGGGGTTTTGGGGTCACTTTGGGGGTTTTGGGGTCACTTTGGAGGGGTTTGGGGTCTGTGGGTTCGTGTCCTTCAAGGACCCCAACGACGACGTCCGGGCCATGAGGGAGATGAACGGTGAGAGAGGGGCATTTTGGGACATTTTGGGGCATTTTGGGTCATTTTGGAGGAGTTTGGGGTCACTTTGGGGGATTTTGAGGGGGTTTGGGGGGGTTTGGGGTCTGTGGGTTCAAGGACCCCAACGACGACGTCCGGGCCATGAGGGAGATGAACGGTGAGATTGGGGCATTTTGGGTCACTTTGGGACATTTTGAGGTCACTTTTGGGGGGTTTTGGGGTCACTTTGGAGGATTTTGGGGCATTTTGGGTCATTTTGGGGGGTTTGGGGTCACTTTGAGGGATTTGGGGTCTGTGGGTTCGTGTCCTTCAAGGACCCCAACGACGACGTCCGGGCCATGAGGGAGATGAACGGTGAGATTGGAGCATTTTGGGGCATTTTGGGGGGTTTTGGGGGCATTTTGGGGTCACTTTGGGGACATTGAGGACACCCTGGGGACCCCCTGGTGACCCCTGATGACCTCTGATGACCCCTGGTGACCCCTGATGACCCCTGGGCAGGGAAAACCCTGGGGGACCCCGAGGGCATTGGGGGGATCGAGGACACCCTGGGGACACCCTGGGGACATTTGAGTGGCCCTTGGGGACATTTGGTGCCCCCTGATGACCCCTGGTGCCCCCTGGTGCCCCCTGGTGCCCCCTGGTGACCCCTGGTGACCCCTGATGACCCCTGGTGACCCCTGATGACCTCCTGATGACCCCTGATGACCCCTGGTGACCCCTGATGACTCCTGGTGACCCCTGATGACCCCTGGTGCCCCCTGGTGACCCCTGATGACCCCTGGTGACCCCTGATGACCTCCTGATGACCCCTGATGACCCCTGATGACCCCTGGTGACCCCTGATGACCCCTGGTGACCCCTGATGACCCCTGGTGACCCCTGGTGACCCCTGATGACCCCTGGTGACCCCTGATGACCTCCTGATGACCCCTGATGACCCCTGGTGACCCCTGATGACCCCTGGTGACCCCTGATGAATTTGGGTGACCCCTGATGACCCCTGGTGACCCCTGATGACCCCTGATGACCCCTGGTGACCCCTGATGAATTTGGGTGACCCCTGATGACCCCTGATGACCCCTGGTGACCCCTGGTGACTCCTGATGAATTTGGATGACCCCTGATGACCCCTGATGACCTCTGATGACCCCCTGGTGACCCCTGATGCCCCCTGGTGACCCCTGATGACCCCTGATGACCCCTGATGAATTTGGGTGACCCCTGGTGACCCCTGGTGACCCCTGATGGCCCCTGATGACTCCTGATGACCCTTGGTGACCCCTGGTGACCCCTGGTGACCCCTGATGACCCCTGGTGCCCCCTGATGACCCCTGGTGACCCCTGCTGACCCCTGCTGACCCCTGCTGACCCCTGGTGCCCCCTGATGACCCCTGATGACCCCTGATGCCCCCTGATGACCCCTGATGAATCTGGGTGACCCCTGCTGACCCCTGCTGACCCCTGATGACCCCTGGTGCCCCCTGATGACCCCTGATGACCCCTGATGACCCCTGATGACCCCTGGTGACCCCTGGTGACCCCTGATGACCCCTGATGAATTTGGGTGACCCCTGATGACCCCTGATGGCCCCTGATGACCCCTGATGAATTTGGGTGACCCCTGATGACCCCTGATGACCCCTGATGACCCCTGGTGACCCCTGGTGACCCCTGGTGACCCCTGGTGACCCCTGATGACCCCCTGATGACCCCTGATGACCCCTGATGAATTCTGGTGACCCCTGATGACCCCTGGTGACCCCTGGTGACTCCTGGTGACCCCTGATGACCCCTGATGACCCCTGATGAATTTGGGTGACCCCTGATGACCCCTGGTGACCCCTGGTGACCCCTGATGACCCCTGATGAATTTGGGTGACCCCTGGTGACCCCTGGTGACCCCTGGTGCCCCCTGATGACCCCTGATGACCCCTGGTGACCCCTGATGACCCCTGGTGACCCCTGGTGACCCCTGGTGACCCCCGGGTGACCCCTGATGACCCCTGGTGCCCCCTGATGACCCCTGATGACCCCTGCTGACCCCTGATGGTCCCTGATGACCCCTGGTGACTCCTGATGACCCCTGGTGACCCCTGATGACCCCTGATGACCCCTGATGACCCCTGCTGACCCCTGATGACCCCTGATGACCCCTGATGACCCCTGGTGACCCCTGATGACCCCTGATGACCCCTGATGACCCCTGATGACCCCTGTGACCCTAGACCCCTGGTGACCCCTGGTGACCCCCTGATGACCCCCTGGTTGAGGAAACTGGGAGACATTTGGGGATACTGGGGAGGGATCGATGGGACACTCTGGGACATCTGGTGACCCCTGATGACCCCTGATGACCCCTGGTGACCCCTGATGACCCCTGGATGACCCCTGGTGACCCCTGGTGACCCCTGATGACCCCTGGTGACCCCTGATGACCCCTGGTGACCCCTGGTGACCCCTGATGACCCCTGATGACCCCTGGTGACCCCTGGTGACCCCCTGGTTGAGGAAACTGGGAGACATTTGGGGATACTGGGGAGGGATCGAGGACACCCTGGGGACATTTGGTGACCCCTGGTGACCTCTGATGACCCCTGATGAATTTGGGTGACTCCTGATGACCCCTGGTGACCCCTGATGACCCCTGGTGACCCCTGATGACCCCTGGTGACCCCTGGCAGGTAAATACGTGGGCAGCCGGCCCATCAAGCTGCGCAAGAGCCAATGGAAGGATCGGAACCTCGAGGTCGTTCGGCGCAAGCAGCGCGAGAAGAAGAAGCTGGGCCTGAGATGACCCCCCCTGGGGGGGACTGGGAGCCACTGGGAGCCACTGGGAGGGGGTTGAGATAAACTGGGAGGGAATTGAGATAAACTGGGAGGGACTGGGAGGGACTGGGAAGGCAATAAAGGTGATTTTAGGGCTGTACCTGCTGGTGGAGTTTGTGATAGGGGGAACTGGTTTATACTGGGGGAGGGACTGGGAGGGATTGGGAGGGACTGGGAGGGACTGGGAGGCACTGGGAGGGACTGGGAGGCACTGGGAGGGACTGGGAGGGACTGGGAGGGGATTGGGGGCACTGGGAGGGACTGGGAGGGATTGGGGGCACTGGGAGGGACTGGGAGGATTGGGAGGCACTGGGAGGGACTGGGAGGGATTGGGAGGGACTGGGAGGGATTGGGAGGGACTGGGAGGGGTTGGGATAAACTGGGAGGGACTGGGAGGGATTGGGAGGGCAATGGAAGGGATTTTAGGGGGCACTGTGGATGGAGGTACTGGGAAAACTGGGAGGGGATTGGGAGGCACTGGGAGGGGATTGGGAGGAGCACTGGGAGGCGGATTGGGAGGGACTGGGAGGGACTGGGAGGGATTGGGAGGGACTGGGGGGCACTGGGAGGACTGGGAGGGGATTGGGAGGGACTGGGAGGGGATTGGGAGCGACTGGGAGGAACTGGGAGCGATTGGGGGACTGGGAGGAACTGGGAGGGACTGGGAGGGATTGGGAGGGACTGGGAGGGACTGGGAGGGGACTGGGAGCAACTGGGAAGGCAATGAAAGGTGATTTTAGGGCTGCACCTGCTGGAGTTTGTGCTGGGATAAACTGGGTTATACTGGGAGGATTAGAATAAACTGGGAGGGCATTGGGAGGGAGTAGGAGGATTGGGGGCACTGGGAGGGACTGGGAGGGACTGGGAGGGCACTGGGAGGGACTGGGAGGGACTGGGAGGGGACTGGGAGGGACTGGGAGGGCACTGGGAGGGACTGGGAGGGACTGGGAAGGCAATAAAGGTGATTTTAGGGCTGCACCTGCTGGTGGAGTTTGTGCTGGGAGGACTGGGTAAACTGGGATAAACTGGGAGGGGATTGGGGGCACTGGGAGGGGCTGGGAGGAGTGGGAGGAGACTGGAATAAGATGGGAGGGGACTGGGGGGAAACTGGGTTGAACTGGAGGGGCATTGGGGAGCACTGGGAGGGACTGGGGAGGACT